ACTGAACCCTTCCTCTGATTTCTCTTGATAACGATAAACATATAATTAGTGGATATGTGGAATCTTCTTGAACTGGGTTAACTAGAGTACCTGTTCTTACTAGTTCAGAAAAAACAAATTCTTCTGTGTAAGCGCTGTGCTTTCACATTTTGGATGTTGCTTGCTCTTTCACAGGAAGATCGTTTTATCCTCCTATCCTTATTGAAACAAAAGATGTTAACATTAGATGCATGTGATGAGTTTGTCTCAGGTTCTGTCAGAGAATTTCCTTTTCTGGATCTTCCTGTTTACATGCAGATGACTTTGTCGCATAATCCTCTTTCAGCAGAACAAATTTTTACTGTATGTTTCTGATGTCTTAATATACTACTCTGTTTTTTTTTTTTTTTTAACAATTGGCAGCGTAAATTAAGAACAGTAAGTTTTTTTTTTTTTTTGAAAGCTTTGTAAAAATAAGTCTATTTAGACTCCCTATGGGGAGCAAAACCTCCAAAATTATTTATGAGAAGCTACAATTAGAGAGGGAAAGCTTCTGAGAAGACTCTCTGAAGTCCTCTTGGTTTAGAGAAGGAACTTGCTGTTTTACCTCATGTTTAGGTTTTAGTCTAGAGAAGGCATTCAACTCACGTTCATTTCCTAACTGTTCAGCAAGGTATCTCATGATTAGAGCCTTTGCAGCCTTTAAATGTCACGGTGATCCTCTCGAAACACATCTGGTGGTTCTTGACAGATGGGTCAAAAGCTTGTGTGAGCCCTTGCTCTTAGGAGATCACTTCTGTGATATGAATTGCCGGTGTCTGAAAGAACTGGAACGCCACTGAAGTCACTTGACCCCTGGAGTATAACTGGAGTAATTTCAGTATTTAAATTCCTTGAGCGACATATAGAGGAATCAGGTCTCTTGGGAAGAGTATGAGCCTGCTGCACCGGGTAGCTGCTTTGTATCAGGGCGTTGAGGGGATTTCTGACGGGTGTATCCGGGGGCATGTCCTCACGCCCTGCTGCTGTCCCCAGCTTAACGCTGCAGGATCCTCTGCATCGAGAAGATTATGAACTGTATTCAGTGTGTGTCCTCAATTCGGCATGGTTTATGCTTGGAAATAAGGTTTTGTAAGAGTTGCACGTAGAGGAGGGGAACTCAAATGTCCTTGCTTTCTTCTGCAGTAGCTGCACAGATGAAAATGCTGAAGCTGTCACCCTAAAAGTTCAATACATTAAAAGGTGCATGTGAAAGTTTTACTTCACATTTAAATGCCTTATGATTTTTGAGAAGCAGGATGTCCAGGGTTTTGTATAGTGGAGGGAAGTAATACTCTTTCAGTTGCTTAATGTATAATTTATAAGCTAAATGGTACAAATTGAGGTTTTGGAAATAGGAATGGTCGCTAAGAGATTTCATAGGCTGTGAGGTGACTGCATTTCTGCCTACTAATGAGCAGAATCGTGTTAAAAAGTGAAGAGCTGGAGATGCATCTGAGTAGATGATAATTGGGCAACGTGGAACCATAGATCTTTTTCTTTTGGGTCAAAACCACGCTTGTCAGTTTGCTTTCTCTCAGCTCGTGAGCTAACCAGGGTAGGTGTTTGGGCCAGTATCTTTGCAGACCATCCGTAGCCATCCTGACGGCATCGTTTGCAGGAGCAGTCCCTGAACTAGGCACTGGCTAGCGTTTTTGAGGTTTAGCATCATACTGATGGATGTTGCCAAGCTGAGAAGGTGAGGTAAGTAGGCTGGAGTGTTTTCTGTGCTTACTGTATGTGCAGTTCTTGGTCAGTATTTAGTTTAAGGAAATGCTTTGTTTCTGTTGTGTGTTTCTGTTCTTTCCCTTCTGGCTGTTTTTTTTTTTTTTTTTTGTCTTTCCCCTTTTCCCCTTCTGCACCATTCACCTTCTGCCTGACAAATGAGTTATACTAGCTGGGCAAAAAGCGGCTGACTTTTGCAATAGTTCTGTCAACTTTAATCATGCAAGCTTTGAAAACGATACCCTGTGAGCCTGATGATAGCAAGTTTGTCGTGTCTTGAAGGGTAAGATTACAGAGTGCCTGCAACTTCCCAGGAGATTCTTTCACGGCAAGAAATGAAGTGCAGTTTTCTTGTTTTTTGCCTTTTTTCTTGCTAGCTGACTTTGTTTTTTAAAGGGAATTAGGTATGATAACAATTAGGTATTTACAGCTCTTTTTGGCTGCATATATGGGACTTTGTTTTTACAGTTAAGTGGACTGCTGGTAAACAGTTGTGTGACATAATTGGCAGGCTGCTTGACAGGACTTTGGTGCTTCAGCTTCTGTGAAGCTTTAAGCACGTCCTTTTAAAATGTCTAAGTATATACTGCACTTTATATAGTCATGTGAGAAAGCCAACACTTTGCTGTAATGCAGCAGCATGCAAACTAATCACTTCAGGCTTTTTGTTTCCCACTATAAATATTTATAGGAAAGGGTACAAGGAAAAGGTAATAGCTAATTTAAAAGTAATTTTTCTTCCAAGAGTCAAAGTTCTGAGCTTTTTAATCTTATTTTGAACTTGAAAATTAGACTGTGACGTTTTCACTGCTGTGAGGAGAGTCTTAGCTTTAGTCATTACTGCGTTATTTTTCTGCTGTTACCATGTCAAGGCTTACATCTTGGAAAAAAAAAGTATGACTGGTTTCTCTATTCTCTAATGAACAGTTTTTCAAAGAAGAACTACTTCTAATGTACCTTTAAGGTGGAACAGAAAATTATCAACCTTTCTACTAGCACTAAAAACTTTTTTGTGCTGCTGACAATTAAAGTATTAGAAAAAGATAACTGTTTAGTGTGTATTCTAAGCCAGTCTATTCTAATCTACCATTTAATGAAATATAAGAAGTAGCTAATCCTGAAAATTATTTCTCCTTGAGCTGTTGACAAGGACTTTCATTCCCATAAAACTTCCACAAAAAGAAGATTGTGGAGTTGATATTTTTCTTCATAAGAGTTTGTATAAGAAGATTCAAGAATTAGGTTAGGAATAGGCAACTTCTGAGAACAGATTTGAGCTGCAGTATTAGTTATAACTGCATTATGTATGTGTTCAACTTACTACCCTGTGATTGAATACAACTGAGATTTGTCAACTTGAAAATTAGTTGTGAAGCTGGAAGGATTCCTCCAGGTTTTTAATCACTAAAATTGGACTGTTACACCTTTTTGTGTACCCTTTTTATATTGTACCGTGGCTTGAATTCTCAGGATATGAAGCTGTTTGCTTCATTTGCTAATAACATCTCAAAGTTGTCCATGCAGGTTTTAATCTAACATGGCATCTCATGTTTTTATCAAGAAAATAAGTTTCTTTACGTACAATAGCTCACCTAGTTTGTATGGCTCTAAAAATAAAGGTATATTCAGTCAAAAATTCAATTCTTTAAGAAAAAAAAAAAACTAGTGAAAATTATCACTTGGGGTGAGAAATTAGGAATCAGTGTGTCATGTGTGAATGAGTTAATGATTAAATCTGTGGTGGGAGGGTTACGGTACAATTTCTAGTCTCCCTGCAGAGGGACAGTCCTCACTGTGGTATGAGAGGATGAGGCTGTGGGGCTGCACGGCTGCACTGACAGCAGCAGCCAGCTCTTGCCGCTGCCAAAGGGAGAGCGCGCACGCTGTCCTGGTGAACACCTTTTACATAACCTCAAGTAATAGATTGCAGCTCTCCGCGTTGTCTGCGGGTATTCCATAGGTTTTCACTGCATTTAGTACCTGATTTTTCAGCTTTAATACTAATTCAGTAGTTACTGTAATACTAATGGCTTTAAGGCTTTGCTGTTTTTCTCAACTGCAGTCTCAGGAGTATATCCGTGACTTTTTTCTTTTAGTAGCTATAGAGTTGTGGGGGCGGGGGGGCAACTGGACAGTAAGTATTCAGTTCTGATTTGGGGGCGAGAGATGCAGGTTAGTGTGGTGTTACTCAAAATGCTTTTAGAGAGCATGGCAGTTTGCTCTTTGGTACCAAGGTAGTGACTCTTGCTGTCAGAGATTGCTACTCATCCTAAATTTTGAGCATAGGGCCTATTCCCAGGATTGTAAATATACTGAAGTAAAAAGTCTATTCCTGCAAACAATTTTATGTTTAAAAAAAAAAAAAAGGAAAACTGAAGTACTGTTATGGAATTAAGGTTGCCTAGCAGAAAACAAGGAATGCAATAGTCTTTTTATACGGTTGTATTTAAACAGACCCTTTTCAGTGTCTTGGAAAAAAATATTTCAGACTATAAACAGTTTCTGAGACTTTGTGGTATGTGAAGCGATGGCTTGTGAAAGGCCTGTCTGCTTCTGGTTTAATCCCCATTGGGGTTGGAGGGACCCACACGTGCTTCTGCGGGAGACAGAACTGACTTTTGGGAGCATAGCTAAGAAGGCAATGAACTAACGTGGTGGAGGTTTTTAAACAAGTTGTAGCTCCACAAGTCTTATTTCCCCAGTATTTGTGAAGTTTTAAATCATAACGTGGTTTCTTACTTCATAGAAATGTTTCTCTAATTATGTCAAATAATAATGAGCTATGAAATTGTCCACTGAATTTTGTATTCCTTCCTGTCTCTTTTGAGTGTTAGCTTTTTTTTATGCTGTACTGTTTACAAAGCTTTTGCTCAGTTACCTGTTTCCATGATCTGATAAAGTACACAACAACAATTTGTTTGCTGTGCACTTGTTTAGAGTTCCATTTCTCTTTTTTTTTTTTTTAGACTTTTCAAATCAGTAGCTCCATGATGAGCATAAATGAAGACTGAACTCTAGTTTTGAAAATACAAGGGGATGCTTGTAACTTTATTATCGTTCTTTGTTTGGCTTAGTATTCATAGATGAGCAACCTTATAGGTTTGCAGGCTTAAAATGCTAGTAATGTTCAGTGAAACTAAAGCTTTGTTCTGTCCCATCGTGAATATAATCTGATATGCTGTTGTTACAAAACTGACTTATTTGTTTATGGTAATAAAATAGATTTTTGAGTTATTGAACAGATTCAGTGAACAATTGGCTTTTTTTAAAAGATATAAATTAAGCTAGTTAAGGGGAGTTTCTAGAAAGCAATGCAGAAAATAAAATATATTGCGAGTAGAGCTGCGTCGGGAGGATTTAGCGATAAAACTGTGCATACCTATTCCTATTTTTGATTTTTCCAGTCCTTTTGATGAAAGAATTTGGTGAACTGTCGTCTTCAAAAGGTAGTTAGAAAGCGCTCTGCAGTAAAGCCTTCTAGTATTAACTGTAAATCAGGTTTCAGGGGTCTTTGGCTTGTTTTAAGGAATCTATTTTCTGATTAAAGAAAGAAACAAAATGCAAAGATATTCTTAATCGTTGAGCTACATTTATCCTTCTGAGACAGAAGTATTCCGTGGTAAAGTATTTTGGTCCGTGGCAGTACGTGAATTTAGCTTGCGTGAACTCAGAATATCTTCCAGCTTATCCGCCGCTTGTTTCCCTGAGATGGAATTCTAGCAGCCTGAAGGCTTGAGGGGCTGTTCAGCTGCTGCTGAGAGCCCTGGAGGTACCTTCATCTGGCATGTCCTGGCCGTGCTGCTTCCCAGCACCTCTTTCTGTAACAAGAGTCACTTTGCCCTGTCTGACCAGCCCTGCTCCCTTTGCTTGCTGGGAGCTTGCCAGGTGCGAGTAGGCTTGTCTTCTGTGGCAGAAGACATTGTGGGAAAATGGGCTTGACCGCAAGACAGTCTGATATAATTTCCACATGTATTTTTCAAAAAGGTAAATATCAAAAACTTTCAGACGGGGAAAAAAAATCCAGACCTGCTGTTGTTTAAAACAAACATACAGAGCTTCTCATGTGAGATCACTGTGTGTAATGTAGTAACTGGAATTCCTTTCAGAGGTGATGTGACTCAATTAACAATAAAAGTGCTCAGCACTGGCATGATGTAATAGCTGTACAGCTGTGACTGTGCAGTTTTTCTTAATAGGACTGTAAGGTAGGGTAAGGATTGGAGCTCAGTTTTGTGTTTTCCTTTCTAAAAATCAATTAGTGATTAATGGGAGATAAGAAGGAAAATAATACACAGTGAATGCGCATACCGTGAGAAACAAGTTCTGGTGATTACTGCACTGAATTTAATTTGGTTTCTTTGACATTATTTAAAGATGACCGTTTAGGAATTCCACCTGGATGACTTGCAATAGATAAGGAGTATAGTAGCTTTCCCCTGAAATAAACACCTCAGCTTAAGTACCAGACTCTTACAGAAGATGCAAGAAAAGCTGTATGATGGTACATATACAGTAACTGGTGAATAGTATTTACTTTTTCTCTTTTTTAATTCCCTCTTTCCATTAAGTACATGATGGAGAATGAAAATGATGACCAAGTGACCTTTAAGTGTGGTATCAAGTTCCTAGTACTGGTGTGAAGATGCACGGGTATCTTGCTAAGAGAGAAGATGTACAAGGGGAGTGGGATAGGCACTGACCTGATTTCAGTGGGGGAATTTTTACTGATTTACTTATTTTTTGAAATAAATGGCATTTTAGGTTCCTCTTCCCCAAAAGCAGTGGATTCAGGATCAAAAAAGTAAATGGATGTCTAAAATGGGAATGAGAGATGGTTGAACGCTCCTTTGGGCTGAAACATGAGTCAGCTTAGGCTGTGCATCCATGCTGCAGGTGGCTTGGCGAAGATGGCTGCAGCGGAACACATGAGATAGGTGAAACTGAGGAAAAAGAGGGCTTTGTTAGGTATCTCTAATGAAGAGTTTAGACCAGAAACGTCTGCAGTTCTTGATGTGTGATCTTTGAGGGTCACAGTAAGTCAGGAAACCTCAAAGCTGGCAGGAGTAAGGAAACATGAAAAGTTTCATGCAATGTTTTACAGTCCATTTCCATTATCTTAATGGTGGTAGCATTGCAATGAGTGCAGCTTGCTGATCTTCACCTTACCTGTGTGGAGAAATTTCCTATGGAGAGGCTCCTGTTACCACTATGCTGGTGGGAGATGGGAAGAAATAATGTTCCACAGATAATGTGAAATGGCTGAGAGATTCCACAAAATCCAGCATATGTCAACTTGAAATTTCATTAGTGAACCACCTTATTTCTCAACTTGAGGCTTCTGTGTTAGACTTTTAAATGCAGAAGAAGTGCTGGTAACTCATCCTTTTATTCTGCCACTCCTGTGGTTAAAAAATGTATTTTATTGAGAGGGATTTTTTTTTCGGGTTGAACCTGAACGAAACAAGCCACCCTGAAAACTGCAAGCCTACACACCTTCTCTCTTTACTTTTTTAGCAATTCTTTATTCAAAATAAGCAAATATTTAAAACAAAAAATAAAAATTCTTTATAAACAGCTATTTTTTGGCACATGTTTATTGGATTGTTAAAGAGAGATTTGGTACTTTACCATGTTTGAGTGTTCCACCACAACTCTCTGGATTATGGATACATACATTTCTATTTCTTTTCTTTTTCTCCCTATTCCTTTTCATTATTTTCTGGCTTTTGCTGTGCTTTTTCTTGTCTTCTTGTCTTTTCACCTTAACCTGCAGCATTTGCATATTAGTGCTTACTGAAATACTTAATGTTGCATTTAGAGTGAAATAAATTAAGACCTTGCGATTCAAGACAGTTTGGCTCTGTAGCTGGCTGCACTTGTAAAGCAGTTCAGTACACTTTAATATGTAGATACTGTTGGCACTGGCAGTCTCTTTATCATCTGTCTGACAGCTGGTCAATGCTGCAAGCGAAACGACACTTGACTACTTGAATAACAGTTCAAGAATGTAATGTTTTCTCCCCTAGTTTTCTCCCCTGCAACCTGTTTGGAATATCCTGACACTTAGAATTTGTCAAATCGTCTGCTTTGTGGTGGACGCAGCTGTTCTCCTATAACTATCCATTTTCTTTAAAGGAAGTCAAGACAGTTTACACTTGAAGGGTGCTTGGACAAATCTAGGACACCTGTTAACTTGAGTCAAGCTGGAGTTCTTGTGAAAAGCCAAGCATTCGCTTCCTGGTTGTTGGGGAAAGATTCTGCTTTCAGGTAAGTTTGGAAATAAGCTTGCTTCATACCTCTTCTGCTTTTGAGTTTTAGCAGTTGCAGAATAGAATTAAGCAGCAAACAAAACTTTGATAATTGTGTATGTTGAACAAAGTTTTTGAAGGGTCTTACACATTTCCTTTTTGGGGGGTGGGGTGGGGGAGGGTGTTTTTGACAGAACTTCTCACCTTCAGCTCCTAAGAGAGCAAGTGCCTTTTCCTCTTTCCTACCATTCATATTTTGAACCCCCTCCCCCCCCACTTTTACTTTATATTCTGCCTTTAAACTAACCACTGTGCCTTTGTGCCTTTTGAGGACTTTACTTTTTTTTTTTTTTTTTTCCCCCTCCAGTAGGACTATATGTCGTTCATATTTGATCTCATATGGAATCACTAAGGTTCAGTTCATGGTCCTGGAGACTGCAACCTTTATTGCTTGGAGGCACCGTTTGAGGAGACAGTGTACCCTGAGGACACAGTGTCCTTAAAAGGATAGGAAAACTGAGTCCTTAGCACGATATGGTTTCCGTCCAAGAAATGTATTCAGGTCCTGCTTAAATAAGGACACCAAACACTCCATGTTTCTCGCTGTGCCTCTTTTCCTAGTTATCTTATATGCACGTGAAATGATAGTCAGAAATAACTATATTATTATCCTCCTAATACTGTAAAGTAAGTTTAAAAAACGTGGCCTCCAGCAAAAACTTTGTTTGGTAACAGTCCGTCCTGGGCATGAAAATACTAGCAGTTAAGTCAGTGATATGATAAACTTCCGATTTATTATAATCGGACTCTCGGAGTTTGATAGGACTAAATTATAATTCAGACCCAAACTCCATACTTACTTTCCAATACTTTGTTGAAAAAGCTGGGTCAAACAGGTTAAAGAGAGAAGAGCTTGTGACAGTGTGAAGAACGGCAATCAATGCAAATTAACTTATTTAACATTTCTAGTGCAGGAGTAACTAATGCAGTGATAATATAAAGAACAAACAAATGTTGTTGATAATCTGTAATTGTTTACTATCTTCCAGGTTATCTGAGATGGTGATTTGACAAATCAAATTTTCCGATATGAGCAAAGTAAAGACATCATCTGAGAAAAGGTGAATTTAAAACCATAGTGACTTCTCAATGTCGAGCTATTTGAGATTTGTAAAGAAGCAGTCTGCATCTTAGAAAATAAATACTACATTATGGGTCCACCGTTGGCAGTGGATGTCTTGAAACAGTGAGAGGACTCAGAATTGACTAAGTAACTTCACTTGTAATAAATAACTTGGCAAACTTAGAGAGTTGTGAGTTAGTCTTTACTTCATCGGAGATGTCTGTATTGCAGTGTACTTTTGACTAGCAAATATCAGGTGAACATTAAATTTCACTGAAACAGTTATCAATTAATTTCATCCAGAGATTGGCAAAACATAAAATGATTGCTACTGAAGGAATTAAAGGACAAGTTTCCATAACCTGCAATGAAGCCCCAACTTTGTCATGAATAAGATATATATCATTCTCCAGCAATCTTGCAATTGAGCATATAGCTAGGCAAAACAAGCATGAGATGGCATAAGAGTTCATGACTTTAAAATTGTCGTATGCTGTTTTCATGAGAATGTAATTTAGCATTATAAAATATTTGGGAAAGCTGTGAGATTATGTATGGAAGGCAACGTGTCTTAAACTTCAGGAAATTACTGAAGGCTTTCCGTTTTACTCTTTTCCTGTGGTAGCACAGGTTGAACCATCTTGTTTCATCCAACCATCCTGATGATTTAAAAAATTATTCTGAGGCAACAGAATAGGTTATTTTGGCTGTACTCTTAGCTATCTGAAATACCAGTCCTTTTCTAAATGAGTGGATGGATTTGCTCAGCTGTGGATTTATTGTACACCTTTGAGGGATCTCAAATTTGTGAGAAGGTTATATCATGCTGAATTTAAATGCTTGCATTTAGAGTGGTCTTTGCTTTTATTGAGTGTAGCAGTGGAATAGTATGATATTAAAGGCTGATTGTGCTTGGCTGTGTGAAAGACAGATCAAAAGAAATAGTAAAAAGCTACCATGTTTTCTGTTTAGGGCACATTAGTTTCTTACGCATTATTATAAGCAAAGCAAGCTCTTCATCAGCAGTGGATGTTTTTGGAAGTACTGTTCATTATAATACATGAAGTGCACTAGCACAAGGAATATTAGCTTTCTGCAGAGTGGCTGGGTAAACGTCACGTATTCTTATTTAGTTATTGAGTTAAAATGAACGTTTCCGTCCCTGCAATGCAAAACAGTTTTTCCCTAATTTATGAATAAATTATGGAAAACCTGTGTACAGAGATAACAGTGCACCAATCGGAAATATCAGCTATCTGAAGACTATTGATAACTTTGGAGATAATTGAAAGAAAAAAAGGAATTTAGAAATGGTTTGCACTTGACTTAAGAAAAAAAAACTCACAAACAAGCAGAGCCCCTTACTGAAACTCCTCATGAGAAGTGTACCCAGTTAAAGTAGATCTTTAAAGGCTCCCTGGAGCTTTTGCGAAGAGTATGCTGAAATATATGAGAGACCTTGTTTGCTGTGGGGGAAGAAGTCACTCCCTGATATGTAAATATACTGACCGACTGTAAACAGTGAAGCAATTTCAGAGGAAGTAAATACGATTGGGGAACTGAAAGTTTCTGATGACTTCCTCCATCTGGCTCTACTCTGTTGGAAGACTTTTTGCAAGGCGAACAGCCTAAAACCATTCTAAAGATAAGGGAATTTTCATAAGGTGCCATGGCAACCATTACACGTTACCTTTCTCATCCGACTAGAACTAGCTCCCTGAGTAGACACTTAAGAAAGGGGAAGGATGCGTTTGAGTGTGTAGTATAGTGAAAGTACTACATAATGAATAATGGGGAATGGTGAATCTCGCAGTTCTTCCGAATCAGAGTAAGCATGCTTAAACCTCCTGGGGGTTGGTGGGACCACATAAATGTGCCAACCATGAGAAAATGCGCTTTTAAACGATTTTTTTTTTCTTCTTGAGGGGAGTTTTCATTTCGGACGTGAACCTCGAGAGTCCTTTGTTCCTCGCTGTGTGAGCCCTGGCTTCCTCTGTGTCTACTCAGAGCTTTCACAACCAATGATGGGAGGAAATCCACAGAGCCATGTGGCTATTTAAAATCACACTGTGCAAATTGGGCAACAGTTGAAATGACGGCTGGTTTGTTTTTGCTTGCTTTCTGTAAGTTGGTGGTGTGAGAGGTGCTTTGAGCTACATCATGCTCAAGCTTTTGAAAGGAGAGAGGATTTCCTGCCTCTGAAGATTTGTTGTGTATGGATGAAATAAGCCTCGTAAACGTCCCCTCAAGCTGCCTAAAGAAAATCTGTCTAAATGAACTTATGAGAGCTGGGTTAAGTACTGACGGACTGAGAAATAGCAATAGTGCTTGTGTCTGTGGGAGTCAGGGAGCAGACACTGAGTAATTGTAGGTTAGTCCTCTTGACTGCTGTGCCCAGGCAGATTTTGGAAGAGTGAACCAAACAGGTGGGGCTACTAATGCAGGTGAGGCTACTAATGCCAATGGGGGGTTGAGTGGCTCATGAAAATGTCTAATTCTTCCTGAGAGAGAGAGGGTAACAGGTCCCTTGAGCAGGGAAGAGGCATTAAAACACCATATACTTTATTTCAGTAAAGCTTAAGCACACTTATGTACTTAAGCATACATTCACTTATGTATGAAGTTGCCATCAGGTAGCTAAGGCTACTGCTCCGTATAAAATTAGTGTAGAGTAGGTGCAAAATTGATCGGATACCAAAAGAACAGTTAGTTCTTTGCTGTCTAGAGGAAAGAATGCACAGTCTAATTTCTGTGTATGGTGATTTTCTTCGTTTTTTTCTGTTTCTGGTTACAGTGAATGACTAAAAAGACTCTGAGGTTCAGTTAATGATCTGAAAGATAGAAGAAGGTGCTTGTTAAAAGTTGCAGGTAACTTGAGGCTGAGGAGGTCTACAAAAACCAAATAAAAATTCAGAATGCTCCTATGAAATGCAGGAAATGGTCCTAAATATTTGACAGGAGTATGTGCAAAGTGCCGTGCTTGGGGAGGAATATCATGTGAACAGGTAAAGGATGGCAGACAATCACATTTGTTGTGGGGAGGGCCAGAAATAGTAAGCTTAAACTGCAGTGAGAAAAACTTTCCAGTGGAGATATGTAAAGTGTTAAAGTTGCCTTTGGTTATTGAAACACCATTTTTGGCAGGCCTTAAAGGACAGGTTGAGCACATGTCCGTCAGGAAGAGCAGAAGTGTTGATTCAGTGTTGTGGAGGGTCATAATTTTATGACCTTGTGAAGCTCTTTCTAGTCCTCCTGATCCATGATTTTTATAGCTAAAAGTAGTAGAGACGCTATGTAATACTTGATAACTACTAGGGTTGACTACTCCTAGGAAGCTTTAGAATGGGTGAGGTGAAAAATGTGTCCTTTCTCGTAGTAATAAGAAGAGTTCTTTACACTGGGGTAACACAAGCCGGGTATATAAAAGGCTGGCCACGATGTTCAGAGTATTCATGTGAGGTTCAAAAAAAAGGAATGCCAGCAGTTGAAGAGGAAATTTAGCGCTGAGGGGACACAGTTTTTACTGTGCCATTCTGATTATTTCCTGGAATTACATAGCTGTTGCATTAAAGATACTGAATTCTGTGGCTACCTGTCTTTTTCAAAGAGATGTCTTCTAGATTTGAATCCTGATGGTTTGTTTGACAAAATGTATGCGTTTGTGTTACAAATATCAGAAAGATATTTGCAATATAAATAGCAGAATTTCTGATTTGTAGTACAAATATCAGAAATTGGCTTTACATTTTGTTCTTGGCTCACATGGGTTGTGGCAGCAGTATGACTTGCAGGAGCAGCATCCGTCAGGCTGGCTGCTGTCTTTCTTGTCCTACGGTCTTTTTGAGTTCCAGTGCAGATATTGAAAGCTGTCTTAGTATTACATAGTATGTGTATTAGCATAGAGTATTAATAAGGAAGGGTATAACTCCTGCTATAAGAACATAATTCAGGTCACTCCTAGCGAGGAAGAGCAAATCAGGACTTTGGTTTATATTTTGGTATAGGTTCTGAGCTGGTCTCATTTTCAGGAACCCTTTACCGAATGTTTTGAAGGCATGCAGTGATATTTGGCTACCCTCTGTTGGAAGACTTCTTGCAAGAGGACTAGCCTAAAACCATTCTAAAGCTAACTGAATCTGAAGGTTAATATTTCTGTTTAACTGCTACAGTGAGAACCCGTTGCTCTTGCAGAAATTCTAGCTCAAAACTTAGGAATTAAATTGTTGGCTTTCAGAAGATAGTGCCCTTCAGTGGGAATGACTTACCATTCCTAAAGTTTTTAAAGCTTTTAGTAAGTATGGAGAGATTGTGTTAGTAATATTACTTCTGTATGGCAGTGTTATTTTTCAGAATTTGCTGGCTTCGTGAATCGAGAATCGGGTTTACTCTGAAATTTTGATACCTTTACTGAGAGTTTTGTCTTTAACAGAAATTAAGTACCATTTTTTAATTTTTTCTTAAGGGTTATCCTCGTTCTTATGTTGGGTTGTTTCCAACTTTCAAGCTCTGTTTATTTTGCTGTGAGACCAATGATATATCAAAATGAAAATTACATTATATATCTATAAATTGGAGCAGCAGTTCTCTTACACTGTTTCTACATAGGTTTGTTGGACTATATGTGTTTTGATTTTAGAGCTGGAGAGGACAGCATCTTTAGGTAGTTTGTCAATTTGGCAACTGTTTGTAGCTTTCATTAAGATCTTGGATTTATTGTGGAGGATTTCAAATTCAGTGAATAAGTGCAGGACTGGAAATTAAACAAAATAAAGCTTGTGCAAACAGCTTATGACTTTATACTATCCTGCCTTGTTTTGGATGATGGGAGAAGACTAAAGGATTTATGCCTTACTTGCAAAGGAAAGTAAAATTTGACCAAGACGGATTTATTTTAGTTTAAAAAATACTTTTAAATCAAAGTCTAGCAAGTGGTTGAGAAGGTGAGGTATTTATATTGAAATAATTTTATATTGAGAAATAACATTTGTAATTAATATAACATTTATAATTAATATAACCTCTTACTACTGGTATTGACAACTTGGAAGTATTCTCTTTAATCTGAAGTTGTTTTTTGGTTATGCTTTTCATTTAGATGTCAGTGTGGAAAAGTAATAGTGATGGAAGGAGTTTCCACTGCAGCTGTTATATCAAATTATTTTCACAGCAGTGTGACCTTTGCTGTCAGCTACCTTTTTGCTTGATATTAACCTTTTTGTCCACATGTGAACTAATTCTTTTAGCAGAGTTCACTGTAAGTATGAAACCTTTTCACAGATATAAAATACAGATCAAGGAGTAGTAATTCTTCATTATTATAAACAACACTGACAGTATTTATAAAGCTAATGTCATAAACTTCAATTTTATTGCAGATGGCGAGAACCTTTAGTATGTGGTCAAATGAGTTATTGTTGATTATTGCAGGACTATAATGTTACAAGTGTAAAAATATGGGACAGTTATTTCTTGCAAACCATTGTTTCTTCTAGTAATTATCATGTGAATTACAGTCATGTAAACATGTGTCTGAAAATGACTTTCATATGGCAATGTGAATCTGAAAATGATTCTGAATATTTTTTACAGTAAAAACTGGAGAAAAAATGATTTCTATGCTGGCTGTATTTTCAACGCTGTAAATATTTATATTAACTGTCCTTATTTTTATCTATAAAAATGCCCCTTTTTGAAATTTTTCGTTAGATTAAAATGCGTTTCTAGGCAAATTTGTGATGTCAGATCAAAATACTCCTGTGTTCAAAATGAATCAAAAATCTGGTGATATCCTTGGGCACTTTCTTAAATTCTTTGTTCAAAACAGTAATCTTTTTCTTCAGCTAATGGGTGCTTGTTTGTTAAGTTCTTGAATGATATCATTTTCCTTCAATTCAGAAAGACTCTCCCTAAGACAAACAGTCCTTAGGACTACCCAGCTAGTTTTGGAGCAAGAGCGGCAAGTTTTTCTTGTATGGAAGGTTTGATGCAGTGTCATCACACTTGACATAGACTGTAT